AAACTTGCATGATGGAAAGAGTTATTGATGGACAGGCACGGGTATTAATATCACTCTCAAAAACTCAAAAACTCACTAGCATCTGTAGTTTACTTAAAATCCATAGACGGTTATTCAGAACTTTGTCGGTAGATGGCAGTGTTGTGTCTAAAAGCATTGTGATACTAATGAATGCCTCTTTAAGGAGCTATGTGTTATTGTCATGCTTAGATTCATTAAGATAACTTAAGCAAAAATAAAAAAAAAAGCTTCTCAAGAGACTGAACCCACTGATCCACCTTGGCATGTCTGAGACAGTCTGAAGGAAAACAAACAAGAGGCCTAAGATCCTTTGGTTTACAGCCTTTATCTATTATAACAGATGCCAATCAATAAATGTAGATTTCCTCTCAAGAAGTGACTTTGCCATTTTGGGGTTTACCCTGAGTAGGTATGAAACTAGGTATGAATCGCCAAGTCCAAGATTTTCAACTGTGAATTAGATGCCTGAAAAGATTGTGTGTTTGTGGTGCAAACGATTTCGCTTACATGCTTTGCCAAGTCTGAAAATGTTTAAATGTGCTGTCCTTTCCAAATCTTGCGACCTCCATGTGCTGTTTTGATATCAGTAGATAAAAGAGAATGAAATCATGAAAGGATGTGGCTTGCGTGTGCACTTGAACACGGTTAACCTCTGCTTTGACGTCTCAAACACACAAATCGTGTCAGTGTGAGCATGTTTTATGATGACACATTAGTACACGCACATCACCAGTAAAATGTAACTTGCGAATGCTCGAGTAGTGGCAGATTTACGGCCATTATAAGCATCTTTAACAGCACGCTCTCATGGCAATTTTGTAATTATTTTATGTTTGGTGAATTGGTGGTGAATTCATATGAATTTTCATACAATCTGCATGTGCCCAAATGTGGATTAGGATTGTAACCCAAATGTGAAGCTGGGTTGGACCATTATGCAGTTGTACAAATTCATACATGTTTGCCACAAATTTATGTAATAGTTTATGAAACAGCGTTTTCTCACGAGATTGGGATGTCTTTAAATCTGCTTTGAGTTTAAGTAGAAGTAAAACAGGGATCCCAAAACACTTTTGTCTTCTCAGCATACCCTTTCTTTTTGTTTTTTTTTTTTACCCCACACACACACACACACACACACACACACACACACACACACAGGTTTGTTTTTATGGTTTATGGGGACTCTCCATAGGCATAATGGTTTTTATACTGTACAAACCGTATTTTCTATTGCCCTACACCAACCCTACCCCTAAACCTACCCCTCACAGGAAACTTTCTGCATTTTTAGATTTAAAAAAAAACTCATTCTGAATTATTTATAAGCCTTTTGAATTACGGGGACACTCATAAATCCTCATAAATCACCTTCTCGTTGTAATACCTATGTCATACCCATGTTATTATACAAATTTGTGTCCTCATAAACCACATAAACATGCACACACACACACACACACACACACACACATATATATATAAGCCTTTAAGAGTCTTTTTTTAAGAATAAAAATCAGTTTTAAATTGTGATAGCATGTATGTACTTTACAAAATAAATTCGTAAAAATACCTCAGAGAGACATTTACACTCACAATAAATTTCCTTCTCCACCTTAAGAGAGGCACTCACGATCCTACAGGCGAGCTGCAATCAGGCCACGCCCTGCGTCCGTTCCGATTGGCTCATAGCTGGCAACTCTGGTTCCTCATTGGTCAGTCCTTTTCCATTGAATCTCCTCCACCTTTACTTTGTCAATTTCTGCGCTTTCATTGAATTGCACTGAAAGCTGCATCGATCTAAAGCCTGCAGCAATCCCAGCACGACAACGTACACTCCTGTCCCTTAACAGATGAGGACTACACCAGCAGGTTGGTTTATTATCAAACGGGTGGACTGAATCGGCACTTAACACTAGAAGAAGTGAGAACCAACACCGTGGGAGAGGGATTTCCCGTCGTAGAAGCCACACTTCTTTGTAGTTGGCTAATGATTTTTATTAATTCCCAATTTGTCGTAATCCACCGAGGACAAAACACAGCGATGATAAGACTTCAGGACGCTCATGAGTTTTATTTCGTCATTTTATCTCTGAATTTCGACATTAAGTGCACCACAACCGGTTATTACGAGGAGTAAAACCGATTTTTGTGATTTTTTTACGAAAGGAAATACAATGCCTGACCAGATAACAGTGGCGGAGTTTGTGGCGGAGACGAATGAAGATTATAAATCGCCCACCGCCTCAAACTTCACCACTAGAATGACTCACTGCAGGAATACTGTAGCCGCACTGGAGGAGGTGAGACCCCTAACTTTATCTAACCTGCTATTGTTAAAACCTGCTGACTGTTTTGCTTACTTACAAGACCACTAGAGTCAGCTATTGCCCCTATGGGAGTTACTAAATGAGTTACTGAGGAGGCAAATCCTCGCGCCCTCTTTGTTGATGCCTCACCCATTATTAGACAACTGCTGTATTACATTGTCTCATCCTGATGAGATATAATAAACCACAAACCGTTTGATTATTCATTGCATATTTAGATAAAATACCATGCACAGGCTGAAATAGATGTACATTGATTGGGTTAGAATTTATATAGAAGAAAAAATTAGTTGATCAACACCTGTTACAATTAACACATCTTGTATTACTCATTCAACAACTCACATCTTATCCTTCAAAGCTGGTTTTGGCTGGTCACTAGTTGGTTGACCAGCTACAATATCCCAAAACCATCCTGACATGGTCTAACTTTGGACATCATAATGGTTCAGTCTGGTTTACGATGTTCTCACAGCTTGGCTAAGATGCTCTTGCTGGTCTCCTGAATTGGCCAAGCAGGTGTTCATCTAGTTTAGTTTGTCGGCAAGCCTGAAAAGTGTCCAGAACCCCTCTAAAACCAGCTATCAGTAAAGACAACCGTATTAGACCAGGTTCCTAAACACATCTTCCAGTTTAAACTGGACTTTCAAACAGGGAATACGAATATGGTGCATCTAAAGTTCATAGTGTCTCTAGATTATATAAAACATCTCATAAGTGACTGAAGCCTCACCCTGACTAGATATAAATAGCCTTTCTCAGCTCTGATGGGCTCTGCTGCTTTTGTGTTTTGTTGAATAGAGACAGCTTCCTGTGGGATCTGCATCATCACAGCTCCAGATTATAACTGTGATAGATGCTGCAGGCTGTATGACCTTATTATTAAGTATACAGATAACAGTAATGTAATGTGTCGAGATGTTATGCTATCTTAGATGGGGTTGAAACAGTTGCTATGTGACTTTCGCTGATATTAATAGCAAGGTGTGTTGTTTGGCAGGATATTTGACTGGTTATGGCTCGAATCAGCATTTCATAATGCCATTGGGTTAAATCAGGGGTGCCCAAACTCGGTCCTGGAGGGCCGGTGTCCTGCAGAGTTTAGCTCCAACTTGCCTCAACACACCTGCTGGTAAGTTCCTAGTATGCCTATAAGAGCTTGATTAGCTGGTTTAGGTGTGTTTAATTGGGGTTGGAGCTAAACTCTGCAGGACACCGGCCCTCCAGGACCGAGTTTGGGCACCCCTGGGTTAAATGATTCCTGTGCTTTCAAGGTAATTCTACAAATGGGTAACTGCGTTCTGTCCTGTGGCTGTGTGTTCCGTCCTGTGGCTGTGTGTTCCTATGAGGAACTCAGGAAGTCTGGAGCCAAATGATTGTTTTTGGTCTTCCTCCGCTTGCATGCTGTTTGTACACTCTTTGGCTTTGTGGTAATTGCTTCAGGGACATAAATAGTACTGTCCACATATTTGCAGTTTTATGGAATAGCTGTAAGTTGGGTGTTTTTGAGATTCGTTTAACACTGACCAACATACAGAGTCCGAATCTGTAGGCTATTTGTCAGAGTTATTCCAGGTGTCATTCCCTTTCTGCATTGTGATTGGTCTGTAGCTGCGTTCACAGGAAATGTTCATGATTCTTCTCCGTATTGTCTCATCACTTTGAAACGGCTTCCCTCATGGGTCTCATTGCTTCAGCCACTTAAACGTAAGGGCCTAATTTAACTGGCAGCTTTTGCCAGATAATAAACAGGACAAGATAGAAGGAATTATAATTTCTTTTTAAAGCAATTAAACTGGAAAACAAGTCCTGCAGTTGTAAAAGCTTCAGCCACAGGGGAAATAAAGGCTGTAAAATATTACTACGCAGTTTGAGACAACAATATCTGATTAAGAAGTGCATTAAAGTAAATTATTGAAACAATGAAATTTTTAGTCTTCAGTTTATAGGCTGTTCCAAACATTTACTTAATCATTGGACTTCTAATGTTTCTACACTGACAAACACTTATAAAGTATTTCATCTACACAAACGCCAAGGATTGTGATCTTCCAGCATTTATTGATTGCGTCTTGTTAGTCTCGAGTCACCTTATGAGTAAAATGAGCTTTTTAGACCACAAATCAGATGATGGACTCTGAAACATATTGGTGTTTTTAGTTTAATAGCCTCTCTCTTTCATGCCATGGGAGAGTGGGGTTGATTTATGGTTGGATGTGTCCTTGTCTTATTGCGAGGTTAGCTGAGGGCAACGGTTCAGAATCAATAAGCATCAGTGCTTCATATGATACCTGTATTGTCTCTTGCATTTATCTACCGGTAAATGCTGATTTTCTGGTATGACATTGCCTTAAAGGGATAGTTCACCCAAAAATGAAAATTATGTCATTAATTACTCACCCTCATGTTGTTTCAAACCCGTAAGACCTTCGTTCATCTTCGGAACACAAATTAAGATATCTTTGATGGAATCTGAGACCTGTCTGACCCTGCATAGACAGCAATACAACTGAAAAGTCCAGGAACGTAGCAAGGAGATCTGTAAATTAATCCATGTGACATCAGTGGTTCAACCGCAATTATACGAAGCTACGAGAATACATTTTGTGCTCAAAAGAAAAAAAATAACCACTTTATTCAACAATTCGTCTCCTCCGCATCACCCTGGTGCCATTTTGGAGAATATCCGCTGGACGTAAACAACATATGCTGTTCTGTGTCAGCTGCGTCACGCGGATACGCTGTTCGCGGATAAGCTTCGTATAATTGCGGAAGAACCACTGATGTCACATGGATTATTTTATAGATCTCCTTGCTACGTTTCTGGACTTGGGAACATTTCAGTTGCTTTGCTGTCTATGCAGGGTCAGACAGCTCTCAGATTCCATCAAAAATATCTTAATTTGTGTTCTGAAGATGAACGGAGGTCTTACGGGTTTGAAACGACATGAGGGTGAGTAATTAATGACAGAATTTTCATTTTTGGGTGAACTAACCCTTTAAGGCTTGTGCACACCGGGACGATTATCGCGTGCGATTATCGCCAACGTTTAATGCCTCGTGAGTCGACTAAACAAAGGGCGCCAATGTGAGTGTGCACAGCGACGCGCAAAATGCCAGGTGTAAAAGCGTAATTTTTTAAAAAATGCCTCGGGCTCATTTTTTTGGTTTAATGCGCCGCGTTAAAAACTGGCCGACCAATGAGATTGCCGCTTTTGTTCACGTGCCTGGAGCTGCTGAACTTACAGTAAAACACGACTTGGTGGCGCTCAAGCACAAAACGGTCTTGCCGAGCACACATTGATACCTAACGACGAAGAGGAAGTAAGTAGACGAAGAAGATGCATCAAAAATCTCGATAAGAGGGAGTTGTTATGTTGAGGAATTGCAGATCAAATAGGATTCGATGTGTACCGGGGTATTTCTGTTTTTCATTAAGCGCCATCTAATGTTAGGGAGTGAATTTGCACGTTCACTCGACTCATCGCCAGTGAAAATCGCTTGGGTATGAACACAAAGACGCATCGAAAAACGTCTAAAAAAATGCTGGCGATAAGCGAGCGCGATAATCGTCCCGGAGTGCACGAGGCTTTATGATATGGATATAACTGCCCGACTTTCTTTTTAAATAAGTTTAACCCACTTTTATTAATTTAGCCTGCTTTTGTAGGCCAAAGAGAGCTGTATAGCCTAGTTCAAACTGAGTAAGCTAAATCTCTAGTTCAGATGTTGGCAGGAGTTTCATCTCCTCGGTTGCACTTTATCTTTAGAAAGTGTTTCAAACACATTTGAGGCCAGTGCTGCCCACCTTTGTGTGGTTTGAGTGCATCTTTGTGCCTTCCACACAGAGTTCACAGTGTGTCTGTGAAGTGTGTGATCCCACTGAATGACTCCGCTTGGAGATTACAGAGGGATTCCTAAGAAATACTGGCATTGACCTTGTTGTCTGCTGAAAACCTATGGATGTTGAAGCCAGTGGTTTGTTTATCCAGAAGTCATAATCAACTAAATAAGCACTCTCTAAACTATAGATTTTGTCAGTTTGGAAACAGTGTTTCTCTTAATATTCCAGTTTGTCCTCAGGAATATCAATATAATATTCTGGTGCCTAGAAATGGCTTTTTTAACATTATGTAATGCACTGTACATGAATATTGACTAGTGGTTGACATATATATTGCCAGGGCCGATATATCAGCAGATATTTGGCATTTTTCAAATATCGGTATCGGCCGATAAGTTTATCTGTTTGGCCGATGTGTTCGAGGTGGGACTTTTATTTTGACGGCGCATAGGGCTGGGCGATAAATCGATAACGATAATTATCGCACGATATAGATTTCCTCGATAAACAATAACAAGAGTTCGATAAATGTTTGATGTAATGCGGCAAAGGCGGAGCGTCATTTGAAGCGCACCACTCTGAGTGTTTATCCGCTCGGATCAAAGTTCAAACAGCAGCGCAAGCTTCACTAGAACAGATGCGTTCACTCGCTGATGAGTCTCGCTCATGCGACACTGAACAGCGCTGTGAGATCCAGTGTGAAGCGCTTGAATTCAGCAAGGAACACAAATAACTCTGTTTACACGTAGATGAAACAGCGCTGACAAACAGCAGAAACACTGTGCGCAATGATACAGTCAGAAAACTTTTTAATCTACAATCGCCATAAATTACTATGGATTTACTGTAGTAGCATTAACTACACCATGGTATTGTCAGAAATGTGGGTATTCGTGTCGAATTTTATTATATTATTAATGTAGACGTATTAAATATATTGAAGGAGGAGTAATGGAATATAATTACAGTATTTTTTTTGTGATTAAGTTATAGCGTTTATGCATTTATAAATGTATTTAGACTACTGTTTCTCATAAATACCTACAAGGCATATTACATTTTTTACCATGGTATTGAGGTGCTATATTTGTGGTTTTAACGGTGATTATCATGATCTAAATGTATGTTA